ACGGTTCGTGTTAGGTTGACTAGACTAGCTAGCCGAGGTGAGAGGACCGCGAAAACATTGTTATATTCCAAGGCAGCATTAACGTTAGCTTCCTCTGGCAGACTAAGCTCAATTAGCAGACAAACGGAAAACTGAACACTGAAAAAAGGCTGCAAGCGGAACGAGAGGGATAGACAAAAAACAAAAAAAAAATTAAACTTGCCGCCAAAGCGTCTCTTTTGTCCGCCATCTTGTTTGTTTTGCTTAGCGGCCGCTCAAAAGATAGCTCAGTGACTATATTATATGTAAAGCCGGGTTATATTTTTCCTCCCAGTCGGGTAGCTCAGTAGATTCAAATTTCACCGGCGTAGTGTGAACGGACAACATTTGATACGTTTTCACTGTGAAACCTCCGTTTTCAATTTTCACCGGCGTAATGTAGACAGAGCCTAAATCCCCATGATTGGTCCTGTATGAAAACAACCTTGGGGCAAACAACAAAACGTTTTGGTAGTGGGGAAGAGAGGGGTTTGTCCATATTTCCACTTCGCGCTAAATTTCGTTAGCTCCGTCTCGTGCTCTTCGAGTCGTGTTACTTGTCACTGCCCTGTGCTGCGGTTGTTAAAAAGTACTAATTTTAGAATAAGCCACTTATCTTATAATGTCGATCTTTTGTTCCTGTTGTTTCCCCGAAAAACAAAGCCAGCCAAACATATTTTCACGTCATAGGCAGTAAACGTGCTATTTACAGACGAGACAACACAAAACGGTCATTCATTCATTCATTCATTCATTCATTTTTCCAGTTTTTCTCTTGCTTTAGTTTCTGTGATCTGAATAAAACGCTTACGAGAAATGCAGTGAGTTTATGTGACTCGTTCCGAGGTGTATCCTTTTTTTTCCTCTTGATATTTTAAATAAACAAAAGTGACCTACAGCCTGATTGTACACTTTTTGCCAATGACGTGATGAGCTCACGCACATCTATTTTCGGTATGTTTCTGAGAAATCAGACAAGCTGGAAAAAAAAAAAGTTTCTTGCAAAAATTATATCCTAGTTACTGAGCTTTTCACAGAAATCTTTGTTCAATCAAAGGCCATAAGCCAGACTAAATGTGCTTTATGGAATAATAATAAATCTGGGACAGATAAACAAACCTTGTTCTTTATATATTAAAGAAAATAGTTTAACTTGAACGAGGAATGTGTTCCTTTTAGAGGAAGATCTTTGGCAGATAGTTACGGGAATAAAATTATTTTAAGTTACTGACGTCTAAAACTGATCAAAGCCATTGTTCGGTACAGATCAAGTCTGCACAAGTATCACAAGTTAGTCACAAGATCAAACCAATGGTCACGGGCTGAACCCGAGTTTACGTAACTATAAATTATAAAAGAAATATTCAAAAGTTTTCACTCATCAGTTGGGAATCGTCCAACTTGAAACCGTTTCCGTCTTACAACCTGCTCATCGCAGCGTTAATTTGTAAGTAACTGTGAAATTTTGTCACAATGATGAATCATAATATGTACACAAATCTTGTAAAATCAAGCCAATGTTTACTCCTTTTCGTCTCACCTCTAACCTTACCTTGTTGCTGTTGTTTATTGCTGATTGGAAGATATGATTGTGTCACGAAGGTCGTTTTATCAAGAATTTTATCATTCGTGAGAAGCGTTTCCTACAATTTCTGACCTAAGCAATTTTGCGACATAATATTAGTTAAAATGCGAGCAACCCGCCTTTTGTGGTGGCATGGATTTTAGCTCCACGGAATCTCTGATTGCACAGGGTGTTGACTATACATTATTCTTCTAAGGGAATTACTGACAAAACCTTCCTCTTTGCTTGTCTGTTGCAGATCAAACATGGCTGTGAAGTTTCATTTCTGCCTGCTGCTTATTATCTTGGGGATCACCGCCTACCAGCAGACAGGTGAGTACATACAGAGGGAAAGTGAAGCAGAGCATTGAGAGGGAAGACTTCTATGCAAACAAAGTTGATGTAATATATCAAACAGAGCAACAGTGTTTCATCGGAATCTCCAAACACTGAGATGAGAGTTGAAAATACGACGCGCAGCGGAGTAGTTTGACGAAATTCGAGGTGTTTGGATAGCCGATGACACACTGTCTCGAGTGTTTGATATATCTTCTCAATCGAAACAAAAACTAAGGAGTAGACGGAAAAGTAAAATCGTATAAATTTATGGTAATTAAAACGAGGTAGTGATTTTCTTCTTTTGAACTTGCTGAATTATAAACGAATTTGAGAAATGATGCTCATTATCCACTTGATAATGTTCTAGTCACGTTTGTAAATCTCTTAAGATGCAACTACCCAGAAGGAGTGTGTCTTTCATAGGCACCCCTGTTCACCAGATACACCATATATATCCGAAAATGATTACGGCTGTTCGCTCAACAAACAAATAGGCGCAACCCGTGTGAGAACTGTGCAGTGTAAAACAATAAAAACAAAGCTCTTTATGCTAGAATTATGACTATATGGAACATCTAATTTATGCCTTTACTTTGAAACTATCCGCTGAGCCTTACTCAGTGCGGGTTACGACCTGGGTCAGCCCCCTCTGTAACTTCAAGAGGACGTAATTCAGAAATGCTGCTGAAACTCCGACAAGCACCAACATGGCGTCTTCATACAAAGCTCTATAAATTTGGGTGGAACACGTTTCCGAATAGCGCGCAAATGAAGAAGAGCACAGACCTAAATCTTGACGAGGTTGTTTATTTATGATCTATCATATCCCAGATTCTTGACTGAATTTTATGGCTAGTTTTCGCTTTCACGCCATCAAAAATAAACCAGCAGTTCATGAAAACCGCAATTGAATGGGTTTTTTTTTTCGATGGCGGGACAGTGAGCGTATTGACAGCCCAGTTGTGATTTGTGCCTGAGTATGGTACGTATAGAAGGATCACATGAGAGTGGGTAGTCCATATTTTGACTCCTTGCATTTTGGTTGAGGCTTAACAGTCGCAAACGGCCGGACGGCGAAGCTCTTGTCTTCGCATAATTCCATGTTACTACCTCCTTCACTTTTACAGGAAATGGCGCACTATGTGACTGGCCGCATGGCCTGTGCGTGTTTATTAACGATCCCTGCCCACCAAATAGTACTGACTGCCAGGCAACGTATAACTGCACAATTGGAACAAACAAATGTTGCTGCTGGTAA